ACACACACACACACACACACACACACATTTGTGGTAGCTTACGTTACTGGCATGAGCTAATAAAGTGTGAATCGGACTGGCTAATGCTAATGGCTAATTTAGTTGAGGCTTGAACCAAAGTCTCAAAAATGCCATGGTATTGGAAGGTTATTTTCTAAATCTCAGTTTTTGCTTTATGTCCTTCAAGCTATTAACYTCAACTAACAACATTTAATTTCAACGGACTGATAAGCGAATGGCCAGAGTTGTAAAGTAACTAAGTACAAATACTTTGTTACTGTACTTAAGTAGAATTTTTGGTTATCTGTACTTTACTTGAGTAATTATTTTTCAGCCTACTTCTTATTTYGACTTACATTTTCACGCAATTGTCTGTACTTTCTATTTCTTACATTTCTAAACAATGTAAGAAGTAGAAAGTCGTTACTCCTATTTCATTTCTGCTCATTGTTAAAAAAATTATCCTTAATAAATTGTGCCTCTTGGACAGAGTGAATTTAAGTGTAGTTGGATGAGAAGTATAAATATTTACCATTCTGACACCAAATTGTACACAATCCATCACAGCTGTACGACTTTCGAAAAAAATATATTTTTTAAAAAGTTCACCTCCCAATAAATATCATTTTGGAAAACCTAACTGCCCATTTTTACTTAATACTTTTACTTTTAATACTGAAGTACATTTAGTCAGAAATTTACTTTTGATACTTCAGTACAAAAAAAATCAGAAGACTTTTACTCAAGTAATATTCTTGGAGGAGACTTTAACTTGTTCAAAAGTACCTGAAAGTAATTTCATCATAAGATACTTGTACTTTTACTCAAGTATCACTTTGAGGTACTTTATACAACACTGAGCTTGAGTGGGTTTGATGGCAGTTTAAATCCTTATTAAAGAACCATTTGGCTCATCACACCAGTTAGAATTAAACTGGAGTCTGATCTATCTGCAGCAGGTAAGATGCTGCATCATATTTTTCACATCAAAACTTCCAAACTATCCTTTTAATGGTTGTTMTGTTTGATCTCTTCCAATAAACGTATTAGTTATTGTAAGTCTGGAGGAGACATAATGCCTAAATTGTAAACACAGAAAAGTGAGTCTTATAAGAAATTGAAGCAACTAAAAAAAATGAGTGTAAATGTCAGTAAGAGTCAGATGACATCTTAGAGAGCAGTGAAAGGTCAACCCTGCACACATTACAGGAGAAACTGAAGTTAAAGATCTACAGTGACTGTGTGCAGAAAGAAGCATTTGATAGATTAAAGTTCCCCAGAGTGGAAGGAAAGTGTCCCTGTTGGATCATTTGATTTAAAAACAAGTGGAGGATTTCACCATTAACATTCTGAAACACAAACTTGTTTTTCTACAAAACATTCCACAAAAAAATAAGAAAAACGCTCCAAATAGTTAATTAAATCAAGCTAGATTAAAGAGAATTTATAATGTTGTTTTTAAAGATTAGATCATTTTGACTGGGATTAAGGTGTTCAAAGAAGAAGTTTAGCACATATTCAAATCTGATTTGGTTAAATAGCAACAGATCTGTGATTTGACGTGGAGCGAAATGAGCATCAAAGCTGAGGTGGAGAGAGTTTTATCCAGCTGTGAAAGACTGAGGGCAAAGATTTCATTTCAGGAGTTTGTTTGTGCTGAAAACTAATAAATTCTTGAAAGAAATAAATCTCTTTAGGTGAGGATAAAAGAAGAAATAAAAAGATGAAGACTTAAAGCTAAGATCTTTTAGGCTCTCGGGTAAAACCACAATAAAAACAGACTCAGAAGTTCCTTTATAGATTCTAATAAACTAAACTGGCTTTTTTATTCATATGACAGGTAAAAATGGTGCCTCTCTCCAATCTGCATAAAAAAATCTGCAGTCCAGGCTGACTGAAAACATTTTGTGCTATTTGAAATAAAAAAGTCTTCAACTGTCAAATTGTCATTCATGAATTCATGATGGAATGACATTTACCTTTCCAAACTCCAGTAATTGATAAAAGTAGAGGTGATGCAACACAGAGGGGAAAACATGCCAGAGATGTTTTCACTGCTTGCATCAAATTTGCAAAAGAAAAAAGTAAATATATATTTTAAACTATTTTAAAATTCCTACTTCCATCATTTGTTTTGTGTGTTTTCCTGCACAGGTATGCAGCCTCTGTAAAAGATGGCTCTCAGTACTTCGTCCTCCTCATCATCACAGACGGCGTCATCTCAGACATGGCGCAGACTAAAGAGTCCATCGTTAATGTAAGTACAGGTGCTGCACCTCGTCAKCTGATACCACAACTCCTCACCCTGCTTTTGACTGACACATTTATGAGATTTCAGCCAAGAATACCAATAACTGACTGTTAAATAAGCAGGTAAGTCGTAGTTATAACATGCTAGCCAGAAGCTCTTTCTTCTTTCTTGTGTTCTAGTAGCTAGTTCTGCTAATTTGCTAACTGCTAAGCTTACTTTTTTATTTAGTGGATAATTGTTTTATACTAACTTTGTAGGTCATTCTGCTAAGAGGAGCAAAAGGTTAGCTAAATGTAGCTAAATGTTAACTGAAAGTACCAAATGTTTAGCTAACATTTAAAATTGGCAAAAGACTAGCTAAAAAACAAAAAGGCTAGAGAAAATGTAAGTGTAGCAAAATGCAAGCAAAAGCTCAAAATAGCAAGTTTTTTTAAACTAGAAGTAACTATCTAAAAGCAGCATAAGGTTAGCTTAAAGTGCTAACCAAAATGTTATAAACACAGGCTAAAGGTAGAAAAAAATGTAGAAATCTTGAAGCTATTAGCGAAACTTGGTTAAAAACTAAAATTAGCTAAATGCTTCTTAAAAGCAACAAAAGGTTTGGCAAAAGCTAAAATTAACAAAAGGCTAGCTAAGCTCAGGCTAAATGTAGCAAAATGTTATCTAGAAGCTAACGCTTGCAAAACCTACTCAAACCCTAAAATTAGCTAAATGCTATCAAAAAGCAGCAAAAGCTTAGATAAAAGCTAAAGAGGCAAATGGGTAGCTAAAGGTTAAATTCAGCAAATTGCTAGCTAGAAGCTAACTTTAAGTCCGCTAACAAAAACAAAACAACCATCCCCTCAAACATGCAACGCTGGCTGCACGCCAACGTCATGCACCGTGTGTGCGTGTAGTAGRGTCGGGCAGAATTGTGTTGTGTGCAATTAGTCACCAGTAAAAATGCCAACAATTAATGCACTGAGTGCCGTGTGATGACATATGTTTGTGTACGRCACACCGTCACTATCAGGCATGCATGTGAGCTCAGCGATGGAAAGTGGCGTGGTGCAGCTAACGCTAACGCTACAAACGAGACACCCCTATAAACTGGAGTATGAGGAAAGCCAGAAAAGAGGGACCAAGGCCACATCGTTGGCTACACGCAAGTGCAATTCTAATTTATTATTTGTTACCAGCTAATTAATTATAAAACATTTTTATGTCAGTATTGACCAACTCTAGCGTGTAGCATCTTTAGCATTTTGTGTGTCCACCTGCGTTAATGTGCACCTGGAAGGGAGAGTAATACATTCAAATCTTTGTGATATGAATCTGATGTGGTGGCTGAATACCACTCATTTCTGTTTAAATGATAGCTCTTGACTTAGCCGTTAACAGTTAGCATTATCTTTGGCTAATTTTTACTAGCAGATTTGTGTTTAGCATTGCTAACATTTTTGGTTAGCTGTGCTCCACAGTGCGATACATTGATATTATACTTTAAATCTATATATGTTACAATTGCAGTCAAAATTGGAGATAAAGTCGAGTGGGAGAGAAGAAAGTGAGGGAGGAAGGTGACACAGATGAGGGGAAAAATATCCCCAGATGTGACGAGGGGGACCTTATCTGCAGGGAGCATAAAATACATGAAATGTTTTGATATCATCAATCACTCTGTAGCCTCGGGTCAAAGCATTACTCAGATACATCGAACACACACACACACTGATGGCATCCTCCCGTTCTGACACACACTCCGACACACGCGTCATTTGTGAGCTGTCAGCGAGTTCGGGCTGTTTTTGGAGACGTTCTTATCTCCAGCACCATCCACTGTGATGTCTCAACCCACACGACACTCCGGGAGGCGCCGCAGAAAACACTGGCATCAAAGATTCACACAGATTCTTACACATACTGAGTGTGTAATGCAAAACATCAACATGGCGTTAGAAGTTTACAGCTAATGAAGAAAATGGTTTGTGTAAAAAGAACCCGGTCTGTTGACTTTATAAAGCAGGTGAATTTCAGCTGCAAAGGAACAGCTTCAAACATTTAGGTACTGAATACAACAAATAGAATTTTTTAGARAACTTTATTAGACTTAAACATTTAACAAACCTACATCCACAGTATAATTTGTTTATCCTACAGTTTTAGGATTTATTTGAATTTGATAAGCAGGCTAGAAATGATTTGTTGAAGCTTAATGAAGTAGAACACTAGCTAAAAGGAGCAAAAGGTTAGCTAAATGTAACTAAATGCAAATTAAAATTAGCAAAAGGTTAGCTTAAAGTAGCAAAATGCTAGATAAAAGTAGCAAAGGTTTAGCTAAAAGTTAAAATTGGCAAAAGGCTAGAGAAAATGTAGCAAAATGATGAATGCTAAGTTTAATCTAAATGCTAACAAAAGCTCAACTACCAATTTATTCAAAACTAAATTTAACTAGCTAAAAGCATCAAAAAGTAGGCTAAAAGAAGGAAAAGGCTAGCTAAAAGCAACATAAGGTTAGCCAAAATTGCTAGCCAAAATTATCTAAATTGGCTAAAAGTAGAAAAAGATGTAGAAATCTAGAAGCAAACCAWAGCAAAACTTAGTTAAAAACTAAAATTAGCTAAATGCTATCTAAAAGCAGCAATGGGTTAGATTATAGCTAAAATTAGCAAAAGGGTAGCTAAAACTAGTTAAACCCAGGCTAAAAGTAACAAAATGTTATCTAGAATCTAAGAGTAGCAAAACCTACTCAGAAACTAAAATTGACTAAAATGCTATCTAAAAGCAGCAAAAGGTTAGATAAAAGCTAAAATTAGCAAAAGGGTAGCTAAGACTAGCTAAGCCCACGCTAAAAGTAGCTAAATGTTATCTAGAAGGTAACAGTAGCAAAWCCTYAAAAACTAAAATTRGCTAAATGCTATCAAAAAGCAGCAAAGGGTTAGATAAAAATAAACGCTGCAAATGGGTAGCTAAAGGTCAAATATAGCAAATTGCTAKCTAGAAGCTCAAAGTAGCAGATGTTTACTCAATAAATAAAAGTAGCAAAGATCTAGCTATATTAAAAAAAGTAAGCTAAATATAGAGATAGGCAGTTTAAAAGTTAAAACCTTGAAGATGATGACCCTCAGCTACTACCACACCAAAGTTTAGCTCAGTATCTATGGGTGCTTAAATCACTTTGTCTTGAAACGGTTATAAATTAAGTTTTTTAAGATCCATTCTGTCGTTCATAAGATATTTTGCTGACAGAACGAAACACAGGCAGAMGTTTGGGAGGATTTTAACTAAATTTATCTTATTTTTCCCGTCTTTTTATTTTTTAGGCCGCCAGCTTGCCGATGTCCATCATCATTGTAGGGGTAGGACCTGCAGAGTTTGATGGTGAGCCCCAAAACAAATTCATGTCGGTTGTTTATTTTTATTTTTTTTAGTTTGTACAGATTTTTTTTTATTTCTTCTGTAGCCATGGTTGAGTTGGACGGTGATGAAGTCAGAATCTCATCCAGAGGAAAATTTGCTGAGAGAGACATCGTTCAGGTAATCTCAGCTTTATTTACCAAATATTTTCTCTGTAGTTCTAATTTAAAGCTGTCCTGGGAAGAAAAAAATACTTTTTTTCCTTTTGGTTCAGTGTGGATTTGTTTGCTGTTGTTTTAGTATGTTTAGTTGAAATAAGCAACAGAGACATTTACTTTTATCTGTACAGTTTAAAAATACATATTTTTTAGTTCCGTAGAGCCTCACGGACGCTCGTTAGTTGTCTTTTTAATTAGTTGGTTGCTTCACACAGAAAAGACTCGCGTTAAACGAAGTTTCACCACCGGAGCATTAAACCAGCTCAGCCTGCAGGTCCTCATTATCACCAAGCTTAAAAACCTCCCGATGCGGCGGCGGCGAGCAGCAGAACCTTCCTGCACAAATTGGATCTTCCTCCTGCAGATAACATCTGATGGAAAAAAGAAACCATCTCAAATCTCTCCTCATTCAGCTCAGCAGTGTAAACAARCATGAGCTGACAGGCTCTGAGACACTTAAAAAATAGATGTTTTCATCATGTAAACGGTAAGTTGCAGAGCGGTCTGACAGTTTGAGAAGTATCTGGAATTCTTCAGGGAGGCTCTGAAAGGCACACAGGTTAGTTTGAAAAATAATCTGGCCKTTCTGAGGTGGCCATTAGTACGCATTTAGCCACAAACGATGGACTTAAAGTTTAAAARTTGTTGTAAAATAGCCAAAAACTGTTGAAATTACCATCAAAGTATCAAAAAGCAGCTGAAAAAGTTGAATCTAGCACAAAGAAGCAGAAACAACTTGCAGAATTGAGTAGTAAAAAAGCTGAAATGATCACAAAAAGCTGAATTTAGCTAGCCTGGTCAAAACTAGACTCTTGTTCTTCGCTTTGCTTCGTACAGAGGGTCTGGACTCTCGGCTATAGAGAAGCGATTCTTGCTGGAGGCGTGGCCTCTGTTGAAGTTTAAAAGGATTGGATSGGTTGGCCGCGACGTATGTGTGCCAGCTCCGCTGTGAAGGAGGCTAAGCTAAGAAGCTAACCGGAAATCTCGTGCGCTGTAAACAGCCCTACTGAGAGGAGAGAAGTATCGAGCCGAACGAGACGACTGTAAATGAGAGCTGCTGCTTTGTCAGAGAAATTAAATTTAATTTGGAAGCCTTATCAACACGGACTGGCTTCATTCACTTCCTCCACTGCCRTATGCTAAAATAACTAGCAGACGCTGCGCAGAAAATTGACGTTGTTCAGAACTCCGCCTTCTGTTCTCTGATTGGCCCAGGTAAAATTCTACCAAAGAAATCCTTGTCCATGTGAGAAACCCCAGACGGAGCAGTGAAGGGAAACTAGAATTGAGCGAAGCTGCATAGGAAGGCACGGGCCAGGCTAGAATTTAGCTGAAGAATGCTAAAATTGGCTAAAATAGAAAAAAACAGCTTAAATTGCAGAAAACAGCTGAAAGAAGAAGACGATTTAGCGGAAAGAAGCTGATAGAAGCACAAAAATTTTTTAATAAACAGAATAGCTGAAAGGAGAAGTAAGATTGCTAAAATAATTAGCAAAAAAATAAACTGAAATTTGCACGAAGAAGTTAAAGTAAAATCAGGACGAAGAATGAAAATCGCAGTCAAAGTTTAAAAAAAACATTGAAAGGTTTTATAGATGCTGAATGAAGCTCTGAGAAAAAAATGTACAAAAAAAGCTAAATAAAAAAAAGAAGTATAAATTCTTGAAATACTGAAAGTCATAGCCGCAATGTTCTGAAGTAAACATTTTGATGTATAAATTGTTGACAGTTACTGAAAAACGTATCGTGTAAATATTTGTAATTCCGTGATAAGCATTTGCACAAAAACACGGATGCTAGCATGTGTGGATTGATTCTGAATCTGTTGTACATTTGTTGCTGCTCGGGTGCAGAAATGGACTGCTGGAACAAGAGCCACTCAAACCCAAGTAGCCGTATCAGTTGYGCTCCGGTGATTTTTATCGGTTTTGTAAAGTTCGTTGCAACTCAAGCTTCTTTGTTCCTCTTCCCCTCCCAGTTTGTTCCATTCAGGGACTACATCGACCGAGCTGGGAGCAGCATCCTGAGCATGGCCCGGCTCGCTAAAGACGTCTTGGCCGAGATCCCGGACCAGTTCCTCTCCTACATGCGGACCCGTGGGATAAAGCCTTCGCCAGCGCCGCCCCCCTACACGCCTCCGGGACAGCCTATCCAAACCCAGATTTAAAGAGACGAGGTTTTTCAAATTTGTGTGTGAGGGATAAAACAAACAAACAAAACAAAACAAACCCAACAAAACAAAGTCTCGCAGTCAGGTGTTTGCAGAACTTTGCGCTCAAAATACTTCCATTTCCTTAAAGCCGCTCTCCATGCCTCGTCGTCGTGGATCACAGTGGTCTTTCTCGTGTTCAGGAAGCTGCACGTCAGGCCAGGACCGAAGCGCTTTAGTGGGAGGGGGGGTTTCAATCCAGCAAGAGTCTGTTTACTTCCACTGTTAAGCATTCCTGTAACGGTTTGGATTTTGAATTAATTTTTTTGTTTCCACCCTGGGGACACCTGGAACGGCTTCAGCTGGTAGTTAGAAGCGTTGTTTGAAAGTTTTAAGAGGGACCTTTCTTTGGACAGATTGTAAAGAGAATGTCTTTAGACAAACAGAGGAATCACTTGAACATTAACTTCTGTTAAAAAACTCGTCTTTCTCTTTCCAACTCACTCACTGTTTACAGCTAAAGCTACGAAGGGATTTTTACTGTTGATACTTTTATATACATATAGTTTCATTATGACGGTTGTAATACTCTTTGTCTCTCCTGGCGTTGGTGTCAGGTAGCAGCAGTGCAGGTCCTGGTAGCCCTTCTGTACCGTACCGTACCGTGCCGTACCGTACCGTACTGTATATTCTGGTGTTTGAACCTTTTTTGCATGAGTGTAGCCTCAGTCAAGTGCATGCAAGCGGTGGCCCTGCACTACCTCTTCCATTCATACGTTTGTCTGTGGGACGTGAGYGCGCTCCTTCCTCACTTTGCCCCGCCCCTCTGGCCTGTCTTCATCGTCCTGTCTTTGTCTCGCTCTCAGTAGCTGGATTTCCATCCAACTCTACTTTATTTAAAAAGAGTATTAATAGTGTAAATCCCCTCCCAGGAAGTGGTTTATACATTTGATAGTACATGCGTAGGTACAGCGGGACCAGAACCGTTCATGCCTAGTACCTGAAAAGTATTTATCTGCTACGTACCAGGTTCAAACCAGGTATGTATGAAGACTGGGTTGTGTCATGAAAGGATTTGTTAGCTTGTATTTACAAAGTATGTACTTGCTGCTTACTTTGTACAAACCTAGTTCCTTTTGAGTATTTAATTAGTACATACCAGATACCTACAAGGACCAGGCTATTTTATGAAATTACTTGCTCTCTTGTACTTAGTCTTAGTACTTACTGGTATGTGGATCCTACCAGATATATAACTGCTACTTACTGGGTACGTACTGAGTACTTGATGTGTATCCATTACATACCAGGTACCTATCTAGTTCTTACTGGGTACTTACCTAGTACATACCAGGTACCTACAAGGACTAGGCAATTTATGAAGTTACTTGCTCTCTTGTACTTAGTCTTGTACCTAGTACTAACTGGGTACTAGTATGTGGATCCTACCAGATATATAACTGCTACTTACTGGGTACTTACTGAGCACTTGGTGTGTATAGGCCTGTCGCGATAGTCAATAAATCAATTAATTGCACGATAAGTTATTTTGAGGTCGGTAAAAAAAATGAGGACGGTAAGTTTCATTTTCCTGCTTGTTTGTTTACTTCGTCTCTCTCCCTCTCTGTGCTCCGCTGCACAGGAGCTCAGCTGACTCCTCCCCTCCTGTTTTCTTATTGTCGGGAGGAGTGAAGTCTCGCTTTAGCGTGAGAGCTCGTAGCAATAACAAACTAAAGAAATGTTTCAAAGCAGAACGCGGCTGCTGCAGTGTCGGARCAATTGCAGAGCCTGAAATTCTTTGCGGGGAGACACACAGAGAGAGAGAGAGAGGAGGAGAAGGGGTGGGGGCTGAAACTCCCCCAGACCCGCGACAAACTCATCAAGACTTTACCTGTAGCTCCCAAAAATAACAGGAAACTTAAACGCACCATTTGTGTTTTAACTAAACACCCAAAAAACCTGTAGCTGTCCCAACAACTCATGAGGAAAACTCTGAACTGTCTGATTTCCTCCCCTGCAGCGCTCTGACTGTCCCCTCCTCACACACACACACACAGACACGTTTGTTCTTCTATCCTCATGGGGACCAGTATTTTCTATTACCATTTGACCCTAAACCAAGCCTAAACTTTACATAGGATGTGAACTGGGCTTATGACCCCATAAGAAACAGTGGGTCCTCACCAGGCTGTGTAGTCTGCTTCATCTCTAAAGAGATGCTGCTCTTTAATATTGTTTATTTACTGCCTTAGTTGTGTGTGGTGTTTAATTTACATTTTGTTGTTCTTTGTTTTTTTTTTATTCAAGTGCATTTTTTGTTAGAGACTGAGTCCACTTTGTTAAACATTCTTTAAAAATTAAAGTTTATTGATTTATTACACTTACATATTATGCTTTTATAATTATTAGTTGTAAAAYGGTCACCAGGCAATATTATCGCTTATCGCAATAATTTGTGAGACAATTAATCACCCAGCAAAATTTGTTATCGTGACAGGCCTAGGTGTGTACCCAGTACATACTAGGTACCTACAAGGACCAGGCTGTACTTTGAAGTGACTTAACCTCCTGAGACCCTGCGTCCTCATACGAGGACCTTGTTTATTTTTTTTTCAAAAAGCACTTCCTGTTTTATGACAGAGTCTATTTATTATTATATTATAAAGAGCACAGACCTGCTGCTTACCTGATACACAGTAGGTATTTGTGTCTTTTACATAGTACTTACTGGCTACTGGTATCTGGTTCTTACCTGACACTTGGTATTTACTGAGTACTTACTCTGTGTGCAACAAAATAGCAGTTATTGTGTTACCCTGCGTTCTGAAAGTACATACCTGGTATGTACTCAGTAAATACTGGGCTGTATTACGTATTGCTTCCAAAATTTACCAGTACACATAATTATTTCTTGAATTTTAGCCATTTTAAACCATCAATGTAGCARGTTTTCCCCACCAAAAATATCAAAAATCAAACAACTGGACTTTAATTCTGTATTTAAACTTTTAYTCCTCCTAGAGGTAATTTAATCGTTGAAGCGGTCGTTTTGTTTTTCCAATCAGTTTGTTTTAATATTTGATCCAGTTTTTGTTGTTGACCTTTTCAGAGTTTAATGTAGCATCACTGACTGTTGAATGGAAACGTAGCTACTGATCCTCCTCGTATATCCGTCTCTCTTCCGAACGGCCTCGGCGAAAGGACGCGTCGTCGCCGCCGCCGCCTTTTCGTCCCCGCCCCGTGTTGAATCAACAGCAGCTGCTCTCAAACTGTCGTTTGAGCAAAAAGAGCCCAGTGGTCAAAAATGCGTAGAAAAACACACTTTTCCCTACGTTTGTTTTTGTGCGTACGTTTATTTTCGTGTGAGTGCGCCCTTTTTTTTTTTTAAAAGACAAACTTTTTTTTAAACGCACTTATAGCTTTGATACAGCTTTATATGTATGTTTATATGAAGTGTGAGAATGGTTTGAGATGCCAGTTAACTCCGACGTCTTCTGTGTTTTTTTTTTTTTTTTTTTTTTGTGAATGTGGGAGTGAATGATTTTAAAACTGAACGTCTGGTGAAATAACTGCAGCACTTCAGTTTATGTAGTCGTACATCGCAACTGCGGTGATTTTATATTGAGTAGAATGAGGAAAATTATTTACTGTGACCAAATTTTTATTTGAAAAAATAAAACTTGATGTTTAATTTTTTTCACACCAAGTAAAACCTGACAGTGTCAAAGTTTTAATAAGGAAAAAAGCTGTTTTTATTCAATTTTCTTTACAGTGTGACAAAGACTTTCTTTATTTTCATTGACTCATAGTCCAAAATAGAAAATTTATTTATAATATTACTATTTAAATTAAAATAAAACCATTTTCTCTGCAGTTATGACTGAATTTATAACAGAAATGGTTGAAAATCAACCAAAATTTTTGTCTGAATTCTAGCATTTAAATTTTTATAAGGTGTAAGACACTTTAAAGATATTTATTGTAAAATCTGTACAATAAGTCCTATAATTAAAGTGCAAGCATCAACTTTGCCTGTTTATCTACAGAGTTAAACTTGCAGCCATATTTGTTTACATACAGCCTAAAATAGGTCACTCAAACGTCCATATTTCTGCCAGATTCAGTCTTTGTTTACATTGAGTGCAGACCCGCATTTTGGAAACGTGGTCAATAAAAGCTACAGGAGTAATCTCCTTAAATTTCACCATGTTTTATATCAAATTACATACCTAATGAGTACATTTAAAGTGGCACAATTTGCTGTACCATCATATTAATTATGTTGTGTTCACATTGTCCAGTTTAAATTTTAAATAGTTTTATAAACTTAACGTCACCTGTTCCTGTTTTCAGTCCAACCCAGGTGTATGAAGTGTGTGCATGCATGTTACTCTGCGTGCGTCCGCCAGGCGCCTTTATAAAAAGTGTTTTATTAGACCAAGTGAGGCGTTAAAAAAATCACACATAAGGTATTTGTTTACTAAAGATATCCAAATATATTATATGCTCGTCATATCTTAAACAATGTGCACTATGTTTGCATGTGCAGTTTTACAAAGGATGCACTGGTTCCTTTTTTGTGTTTATACAGATAATACATATAATTAATTGTACAAAATGGCCTTAAATCTTTCACTGACTTTCTTAGAAATGTGCGATGCCTTCTTCAGAAACATGTTTTCTTTACAGGATTTGATCGGTATCTATTTTGTGTCGTGTTTTTATTGCTTTTTGGTGTATTCTTTGCCAAAAAAAGTAAAAAAGAAAAAAAAAACAAGTTCAATTTTGAGAAAGATTAACTATCTTGTATTCTTTTCTTTTTTTTTATTTCAAACTGTGATTGATCCGGTAAAGCATGGCTGAAGTACTGATTGTCTGATGATACATAGATGAACTATTTCTGTATTGAGCTATGAATTTTTAAATAAATATTCATATCAAACTCAACTTGCTTCTTCTAATCTGAGTTTTACTTTTTGGGAAATTCAGACACAAAAAAAAACATGAATATTTTTTGTTTATTTCAGACGTTTGGTCACTTTTTTCCCCTAATAAAAAGCAGCAGTTATCCATACTTTTGATAAATCCATGTTAGTTTTTTTTTTTGTCTCCCTCAGTACTCTCATGTCCTCTGCCATTCATCGATTAGGGATTTGGAGTTTGAGGCCAAAGGTGCTGCATTAGGAGTCTGCAAGACTGGTCTCTGCATAACCTGTAGGTCCATTTCCTGTTGGCCCAGATGAAAACTGAAGTCTCACTCCAAATAATCAGTGAGTATAAAYAACAAAAACAAATGACACACAGATATGGTACCAGAACTTGACTTAAGTAACAAAACAAATACTTTTTGAAGCTAAACAGGTTTTTATTTTTACCATAGTCTGACATTTCTTTTGTTTCATTTTGTTATAAATTCTGATTATAGAATCAAAATGGATAGCATTTTAGAGCTTAGTCTCTGCAGAGACCGGTTATTTATCTGGTATTAACCAGGTACCCATGGGGAATGGGTTGTCCTGTACCTGCAGGACAAGTACTACAAACCAGGTACTTGTTTGGTATTTTTACCTGGAATTTTCCTGGCATGAATCAGGTAACTACAGGGACTGGGTTATAATGGCTTGTTACCTGTACCTACAAGGTATGGACCTGGTAATTACCTAGTACATTTACTTCAAACCAGGTACTTACAAAGACTGGACTGGACCAGGTATTTACCGTGTAATTTTCTGGTACTTACAAGGTTTCTACAAGGACTGGACTGTRTTATGAAGTGACTTGTTATCCTGTATTTACGAAGGACAGACCAGGTAATTATCTAGTACGTTTACTTGGTACCAGGTACTTACAAGGACTAGGCCCTAATATAAATACACTTGTCAGCCTCTACCTACAAGGTATTTATCTTATATATACTAGTCACATACCTGGTACATACCAGGTTCTTGGGTTAACTGGACTGTATTATGAAGTGAACCTAGTTACTTGGTATTTTTACCTAGTACTTTGTTTTGTACCAGGTTGTATTTCACCTTATTGCCATATTTTTAAATCGTTTGAGACAACTTATGACAATTTGAAAGACCTCTACATTGTAGATGGAATTAAAAAAAATAACTAGAAGGCTCTTTTAGGTGTGTACACATTGTAATGTTAACAAATTGATCAAYTGTATAATTAGCAATTTAAACAAAAAACTWATTTYATWAGTTGACATAAGTTGTTTAAAATGTTATAGTGTGACAGGGCCTTTAGTTGTGCCAGTGTGCTGCTTCGTTAAAAACATAAGCTAGTCTCACCCATAGCCAGAGCTGTTTTATTTAGAACTATATTTAAAAAGAAATTATATTTTTGTTGAAGATGTAAACAAAAACTTAACAGAACAAAATGTTATCCTAGGATAATGTTTCAAATGAAAAGATTTTCTAGATTTTAAAACGATTAAACTTTCACAGCTAGAGGTGTTCCCCCCAACTCTTATTGGCTTTGGTTTTCTGATCTGGAGGCCTGTCTTTTCAGGTTTTTGTTTAAGAGTTTAACTGTCTCCACCAAAGATAGCTTAGTCTAGTAAAAAA